TGTGGTGCTTTCTCATGATGTTGCATAAGGGAAGCATACATAAGGTGAAGAGTATCGGTCTAAGGACAGAACCTTGTGGAACTCCATGACTAACTTGCATGTGCATGGAGGGGTCATTGTTGACGTTAACAAATTTAAATCTATCTGATGAATATGATTTAAACCAGTCTAGTGCAGTTCCTCTGATCCCTACATGTTGTTCTAGTCTCTGTAACAGGATCTTATGATCCATGGTGTCAAATGCTGCACTAAGATCCAACAGGACGAGTACAGAGACAAGTCCATCATCTGGGGCCAGAGTTCATTAGTGACTTTTTATAGTGATGTTTCTGTGCTGTGATTGACTCTAAATCCTGACTGAACGTTTTCCAACAAACCGTTACTATCTAAGTAATCACACAGCTGGTTAGCAACAGCTGTTTCTAGGATTTTGGAAATGAAGGGCAGGTTGGATATGGGTCTGTAATTAGCTAAAACCTCTGGATCAAGAGTGGGCTTTTTAAGCAGAGGTTTAATAACAGCTACCTTAAAAGCCTGTGGTAAGTAGCTGGTTAACAAAAACATATTAATGTGATTTAATATGGAACTGTCAATTAGGGGAAAACTTCCTTTAAAAGTCTAGTTGGGACAGAGTCTAATTGACAAGTTGTTGGTTTAGATGATGGTAATATGGTCCTTTCAGGTATAAATTCAGGTCAAATATAAATCTGGTGCTACAGGTGGTTCTATGGTTTCAGGACAGGACAATGTATCTGTGCTATTCAACTGGAGAAGGTGGTGGATGTGTTCCCTGATGGTTATAATTTTATTTGTGAAGAAGTTCATGAAATCATTGCTTCTTAGAGTTAGAGGGATAGATGGGTCAGTAGAGGTGTGGCCTTCTGTCAGCCTGGCTACAGAGCTGAAGAGGAACCAGGGGTTGTTCTTATTTTCTTCTATTAATAATGAATAAGAGGTTCTGGCATTTCTGAGTGCTTTCTTGTAATTCACCAGTCTATCCTTCCAGGCTAGGTGAAAGTCATATTGACTGGTGGAACGCCACTTCCTCTCTAGCCTCTGTGATGTCTGTTTTAAAACACGTGTTTGAGAATTATACCATGGACCTAAGCTCCTCTGATTTACCTTTTCCCTTTTTAGTGGTGCGACAGTGTCAAGGGTTGTTTTTAATGAGGCTGCTGTACTGTTAACAAAGTTATCAACTAGTGTGGGAGTGAAGTTTTGATAACTTTTCTGTATTGTACTGACACATGGCTGTGAGGTAACCAATGCATGCTTTACATACACAGCCAAAGCAGGTTGAGGAGGTGGATTATTTTCACTTGATCTCAACCCATCTGGGCTGAAATCCATGAGTTCACTTGCTGAAGAGCAGACTACAACAAACTGTGTGAATTATGTTCATGAAACTTGAGTTTGATGTTCACTGAATTCAGAATTGTCTTAACTGACCAACGTCCTGCACTATGACCTGCCGTGGTTTTTTCCCATTCTTCAAGTCTGCCAGCCAGCTCATGTTACTCGTGTGCATAAAGAGTATATCAGAGCATGCCTATTTTATCAAAGGGATTTTTGAGCACTGCTTTAACAAATGGTTGCACTGACTCCACAAAGGATTGAACTCTCTCTCAAATCTCAGCTTGTACTTGGTAAATTTGAATCAAGAACCTCATTACAAAATATTGCACAGGTACACTGAAATCAGGAAGCCAAACATGACCACATCATTCCTCTTGCCAGCTGAAGGGTACATTTTAGCAAAGCGTACCAAGAACTTTAGTAAAAAACCTTGACTGTGAAATTAAAATTGGTGCCTGTCAGCCTCTATCAATGTGAAGTCAACATAGCTTTTTAACAAATTGTCCCTTTTGAGTTTTAATAGACTTTTTACAACCTATTCTGTTGCTTGATCTCTGTCATGGAAGGAAGTTGTGTCCTACAATATCTGGTCTTTTCCATTGTAATAGCTATAATTGGACTACAGTAATCTTTCTTCAAATAGCTGCACAGAGTGGCGTCTCAGCAGCAGAGCTCCTTAAGCTAATGGCTAATATTGCCAAGGTGCTCCACTGAGTGCTTTTAGATGCTCATTTGTACTGGCTGCCACTCGGTGCTGTAATGCCTCCCTCATTAGTCATCCAATCATGCTGTTTGGAACTGATGTCGTACTGATGGTTTAGATTTGCTTATCCAGAGTAATATATGAGGATTGTGACTTCTTTATATTCATTTGGATGGGTCAGTTGGGTAAACATATATATCATATTGCATAGATTGTAACCATGCCAGGTCGTAATTCTTTATGTAAACTTCTCTTGTTGTCACTTCTGCTGTGCATTCTGTACTTGCAGTGGAAGGACTGATGTTTCCTAAAAGGAATCAACAATGCAGAGTAGTCCTGTGTTGTATTCACTGCTGTTTTCAAATTGTGGTCCGGATGCTGACACTTGTGAGAAAGTACACACACACACACACAAGCACACATACAGATGCCCACAGACAGAAAACACACACACATCCAGTCTCAGCAGTGGATTTAAGTGGGAATCAGCAGATCCACACACCAGTAGCTGACTTCGTGTGTTGTAGTAAAAAGTCGAGTTTCAGGCTGTCAGCACAGTTTAAATCTGAATCTGAAATCACTGAATAGGGGAGAAGAGGGAATAGTTTCATAACAAAAAGGCATTTTTTTTTCAGGGAACTGAGATGAACATTTTAAAGGACCAGTGATAGTATATATAACTTGAAGGGCAGACTCTTTGCAGAATACTGGAGCAGAGTAGGGATTCATTTTCAAAGGTTTAATGTAAAACTCATAACAAAGACTGAATTAGGTGACAAAGTGAATGATCACAGAGTTCAGAGTCTAACAGGCTAGTGATCAGTCTTCCAGAATCCAGGTCCGGAGTTCAGAGAGTGTAGGCAGAGACAACGGCTGGCACGAGTCCAGTACAGAAGAGAGTTAGTGAGAACTGGCTAAGCGTGGCAGAAGCAGAAGGTAGAAGATCCTCGGCATAGGAAAAAAAAAACACAGTGATTAATATTCAGGCGGACAGGTAGGTAACAGAAGTTTCAAAAAGATTTTGAAAAAGGCAGAAGGTAGGAGTAGGCCAAGCGTTTCTACCGCAATGATGAATGATCTGGTCCTTGCATAAAGCAGGAGGTGGTCGCTTTGACAAGGTGATGAGAAACGGGCGAATTTGCAAGAGAGAAACAATCCAGAAGCGACATTCAGCCAGCGACATACACTGCCAGGAACAGGACCCAGTAGGGGAAAGGCAACAGCAGCAGGAAACCAGGAAGTAGAAGCAAAAAACATACAAATCCAAAGGCAGACTGCACAATCATCAACAACCAGTGTGTAGGATTTAGGAATATAATATTCATAATGACGTTTTTCATTGGTGTGTAATTACAGGACACTGAGATTTATTGGGTTTTGGGTCTAAACATGTGTCTTCTTCCACCGAGTCTGTATTGCTCCTATAGCAAATAACAGATAAAGGAAACACAAGCTCTAGAAACGCTTTAACATTTCCATGTTACCTGAAGACCCACCTAGGTGACGGGTGAGGGGAGGGGTATTCAGTTGGATGCAATCTGCCACTTCACCACTAGATGCAAATACTTAACATGCATCAAAACTTTGAATCTGGGTGTTTTGGATGTATGAATTTATTTGTATTAATACGAACCAAAGGTTGAAATGAAATATGTCAGTTTGAATCAAGGGAAGTGTTTGTATGAAAATGCTCAGTAAAACAAGAAATAGTTCAGATCCCATGAAGTGATGAGTAGGAATTTAACATAATTATATTTTCAACTAAGGTGTACACAAGTGGAATTTCTCTCTTGATTGTAGTGTTCACATGCATAGTAGACTCAAACAAACAATAATGCAATTTGCAACCTAGATTGTAATAACCCAGTGTACTAGAGAGCTAATGAGGTAATTAAACTATAATTTGAAAGTAGACCCCCACCTTTGGCCATCATTAGAGCAGCCACACAGTACCAGATAGTAAGTAACTCAAAAACATTTTGTCACCCACACTCTGCCTAATGTAGTTATCCATGATGAAAATGTTCAATTACCAGTGCTAGCTGTTCCCCGGGTTATATGTAACAAGCTGATTATCCCCAGCCCACAACCTTTACAGTGAATCCCCAGCCAACAGTGTCCACAGTGAGGATTTGGAAAGCACAATGATATTATGCTAATGTGGAGCTATTGCTGGATTGACATTTCCACTGATTGGGATTAGTGCTCCTATCCATTCCCCCACCCACGCTGCAATATCTCAAGGTCTCTCTGTCACCAGAACATGCTTTTAACATCCCCAGTGTCAGGGCTAATTTGTGGTGTTACTCAAGTGGGCTTGTTTCGATGCAATACATTTATTTTCTTTGTGTAATGAGTCATTGCCCTGAGCTGTCTGCCGTCTGGGGACATTCGGAAATGGCAAATCTCCAATTCACAAACCTCCACTGTGATTTGTCGATATTTATCTTTTTTTTTCTTCATGAAGGATAACCAGACTGCCATCAATTTACACATCAATATATGAAAAGGGGAGCTATCAAACATTTTCTTAGGTTATCTACATAACTTATATTCACTTGTCTCTGCAAATTCATTTCTTTGACAAAAAGTGATTTTTTATTCAATCTGCCAGTTTCTACTTTAGACAAGTCCTGCACTCCTCTATATAAAGACAGACTTTTCATTTCTTCATCCCAAGTACTATAGAATATCTGCACAGGAAGGAGGGCCAGTTTTGAACTTGCTATTTAAATCAATCAAGTCACATCACTTGAGTACTTAAACCTTTAGCCTAGAGACAACAAAACTGTAACAGAGAGCCTGAATTACAAACTTGCAAACTGGATGTATGGATGGCAAGTGTATAACCAGTCATGGATTGTCCAACAAATAGGAAATATGTGGAACCTGCATTGTTTTTGTTTTATTTTTTTAACTTAACTTGAACCTATCTCCACAGGCACCCATAAATTTGTGATGGAGGGAGAAAACCTGGAGCTGACAACCATCACCAAAGAGGAGTCAGGATCATATGAGTGTATCGCTTCGAATGACATCTCGAGCCCCGATGTCAGGACAGTGCAAGTCACCGTAAACTGTAAGGGCCAGGGTTATCCCATTCATACGCACACACACACACACAAAACAAAGCTAACAGCTTTTTCACGGATAAGCAATATTCTCAAACAAACCCTGACTGTGTAATTCTGGTGAACAATCTGGAAAATGGTCACTGTTTGTAAACCATTTTGTCCACAGTCCTGATCCTAACCTCCTCTGAAAGGAAATTCTTTGGACTTGTGATTAAAAAAGTCTGAACTACTGAAACGAAATAAAAACTTAAAAGGCTGAAACAATTTTTTTATTTATTGCTATGATGTATCTGCAGTCTTTAAAAATAACCAACTGCTCTCACAGTTATACTGGAATTATAAAAGGACAATGGAGCATTGTGAGGCTTTGCGCTTTCAAAAGTCGAGTAGTTCATCATGGCCAAATAAAGAGCCAACTGGACAACGTCCCACATAATGGAACTAACTCCCTCACAGTCTATATTCGTGTCTGTGCTTGTGTATCTTGTTTGTCAGTTCACACTGAAATAGGAGTATGAAGAAGCCCAAAACAGAAAGCAATTTACAAATCTTATTTCACTGTATCTTTATAGATCCGCCCTTCATTTCTAAGGCGAGGAGTACAGGTACTCCAGTTGGACAGAAAGGAGTCCTGCAGTGTGAAGCCTCTGCGGTCCCGAGGGCAGATTTTGAGTGGTACAAAGAAGACCGCAGGCAAGTTCCTGCTCTGTGCTGTGTGACTTCACTAGACGCTATAATACTGACTGCTGTAGGCTGTGCACTTACTTTAATTGAAATATTCCAGACCAGATCTTCTTTGTTGAGGTAATGCCTTTATACAGATATTCTTGTTTCAAATTATGTGCATCTGATGTAATCAGAGGATTCCTCGTGCCCTGCATTTTCCTGATTTGTATTTAATCACATTATGAAAGAAATTGTGTCATGTTGAACTGTGAAATGATCCCTGACGATGACAGGCGCATTGCTCGTCAGTTCCCAAAAGACGAAAATCTGTCCTCAAGAATAAAAAGATGGAGGAAGCTGACAAAATAAATGACTGGCATCCTCAAACATGAATTAAGGCAATAAAACAGTAGCAGAGGAACAGGAACAACAATGAGTGACACAGAAGGAAGGATTTGCTGCACTGAAGGATGGAAATCCCAAATGGGAAATTACTTCAATAAGTCAGTGAGCTGTTAGAGTTTTAGCTCTTCCTAGCCTGCAGGTGCGAATGTATTTCCAACTTTGTGCAGACATAAATCTTAAGTCACGTGATAGAGGCTTGACAAAATGCCAAAACAAACCCACAGAGAAAACCACTGTTTTTTTTTTTTTACTTTTCTCCTCATGAGACGAACCATTGACAGTATCTCTGTTTCTTTTTTACAGGCTCTTCAATGGCCTGAACGGAGTCAAGATTGAGAATCAAGGTAAACAGTCAATGCTCGTCTTTTTCAACGTCTCAGAAGAGGACTATGGGAACTACACCTGCGTTGCCATGAACACCATGGGAATCACTAATGCAAGCATAATCCTTTATGGTAAGAATATATGTAATATTAATATATATATTGAATTATTATAATTTATTATTATTAAATTGTATGTTCTTTATATGCATACAAGCACTGTCTTTATCTTTGATTCCTACCATTCATTAACTTCCAAGGACACTTGAAGAAATAAACCATTTTTCATATTAGTCCTGGTAAATCTCCATTCCTTTTGAGACAATGCCGTGGTTCCAGCACTGGTTTGAGCTGGAGACATTCTTACCCTGATGATGGACAATGCGTTGTGTCATTCTCGCCCAGGTCCCGGTGCAATCCATGATGTGAACGGTGCTGCAGTGCTGCCCGGTCGCTCTGTTTGTCTCCTGCTGACTGTCACCTTACTCCACCTGCTGAAGTTCTGATGTGAAATTGCAAACCTTCAAGCTCTCTCCGCATCGAACAGCGAGAACAGACTATTAGTCCAATTAGAAGAATGGGAATCAAAGAGCGACACTGGTTCACGTTTAGTTATGTTGATTTTTGTTTCTTTCTGGCTTTGCAACAGAGTCTCTGTCAGCTCGCCTCTGAGGAAGTGAAAAGTTTGAATCATGCACTAATTTGATGATGGTAGAACTACTGAGTTTGTGTCTCCCCAAACCTTTTTGTATGTGGAAAGGGAAAAAACAAAAAAAAAAAAACATATATATATATGTAACTGTTGATAGTTGACTGTTTATTGCCCAATATTGAAGTGAAAATTCAGATTATTATTATTGTGTCACATCCTGTTCAATATCTGTACAATATCATTAAGCTTTTTTTAAGTAAACAACAAAAAGGGAAAAAATGCAATGTGATTGTTGAATTTTACTGTATTTTTACAGTTGTATGCAAAACAGAATAATAGATCATTCTTGATAAACAGTTGATTTCTCAGGCAACGTCCTACATCATAGAGCATCTGACTTTTTATTTCTGTTGTAGTGTGTGTAGAAAATGTACAAATGTGTACAGACAATTCCTGCACTGTTGTTTTTTTCAAAAGGCATACACTTATCAAATGGCATTTCTGAAACACCTAATCCCTAGTGTCATAGCAGCTCCATGGTATATTCATGCTGAAAGTCTGAAAGATTTTTCTGCTTACCATTTTTGTGATTTGTCATTTAGGATATGAGTGACTGAGCTGCTTCATTTTCTCCGGTCACAATAAACTTATATGAAAGTAAACTATGCATTAGTTTACTTTTTTTTTTTTAAGGCCATTGTCTAACACTGGGGCTTAAATTGTTGTATAGTTATCATATAATTTACCCTGGCAGTAAGTTATATATAAAAATCTGCAAAAAACCCATTCATATTTAACATAACATGCAGCCTTGAAAGTAGGTTTCTCAGGCAGCCACAGTGGTCCTCGAGTTTTCTTGGTTGAAGTCAGTGGACTTTTATGCAATTGAGGCCTTGTTGTTGGGTTTGCAGAGCCAGAGAGGTTGCAGCTTATCACAAATCATTATTATTATTTTTACTTGATAAGAAACTTTTTTTTGTTGTTGTTTTTTTAATCCCTAGATTCACTTTAAAGTATCCACAACCAATCAGTTAGAACTTGCAAGGTTGTTAAGTTAAAATACACAATAGTAAATATGCAGGAGGTAATTTGTTTTTATTCATATCTGCATAATTTGTTTTATTTAAAAAATATATATTGTCATTGCTACTTATTGTGAGGTTATGCAAATGTGAGTATGACAATAATGTAACTGTCCATTGTGGTGAATTACTAAAAACACAAGTTGATCTATAGCAGTGCATTAAGACAGAATAGGCCTAACAGCAGTTGATACTTTAATTTGTCCCTTCAGATATTTTTAATATAGAATTGAATGTATCATTATGTTTTACACTGAAACACTATCCGTTTGTCATACAGAAAAAATCATATTTCTCACCCAAGAATTTAAATCTTTTAATTTTCCTGTGCAGTAGTGAAGAAGCTGGATAAACAATTGTTTTCATTTAGAACCTTTAGTTAAAATATGCTTGTGGAGGCTGAGGAGTTTTTTGATAATATCAAATCAAATCAAAAAAAAAAAAAAAAAAAAAAGAAAACAGTGCACTGCTCTATCCAAGCCACAGATAATACAAGCAGGAATATTTTGTGAATGACAGGACGGTAAAATCAATTCAAATGAATGTTCCGTGTAGCTGCTATGAGCCACCCCCCCCCACCCCACCCCGGTGTTACGGATGCGTGCTTTTAACCTGGTTTGCCCAGAGATAATTGGCAGATGCTGCAGGGGTGACTGTTGTGTTCTGTGGTTGGTGGATGCATTTTAGAGAGACATTTTTCAGTCTGCCTTGCACAGAAATTTCAAATGACCAGAATATACAGTACTTACAGCACAAGTGATTGATAATGTGATGTTCTGCTATTGTCCAGTTCACGCCTGTGCATACCTGTGAGTAAGAAGTGTTTTGAAGACAAAACAGCAGGGGTGAGATTGATGTATGTGGGAATGCTTTTGTTGTACTCACATGTTAAGTTATGTGCTTGTGATTGATGGTTGAACCAGTCAACTGGACAGGACATGTCGCAGGATGACAGGGGAGATCCAGATGCCTGCAAAACTAAAGTTAAGGGTCAATGTAACGCTTTTCATCTCAGATAGATGAACATGATGAATATTGATGTCAATAAGCTTGAATCAATTTGTTTAAAATCCCAATTAAAACAGAACTGATACTGGAATTTACTTAAGGTGTATTTTTGCATATAACAACAGTATCATTATTGTGGTGACAGCTTGTACTTTTTTATGGATTAAGGTTTTAACATCATGTATTCCACACATAGACTGTATGTCAAGCTGGACATGATGTCCCCCGCTTCCTCCCGTTGTATAAAAATAAAGCCAAAATATTCCAGATACGGGTGCTGACATCTTGAACTTCTGATGTCATTTGGAGCCAGAGTCTGCAAGGTAGTGATGATGGTGTGGAGCCGCAGAGATCCTGCTGATACGCGGTGATACAGCGTCGACTAAGCAGTCAATGACATTTCAGCCTGTTTTTATAGCATCAAATAAAGAATTTACACTTCTCAGAAAAACACTTGAACATACATCAGTGTGTTTAGAACTACCTAAAATTACAGAAACCATCTTTTGGAAAAAAATAAAGTTTTTAACATTACACTTTTTAGTTAGTTCCATGTCCCATCTGCCAACATGGAGGAGATGAGTTTCATATATTTCAGCTAGCTACGAAGGGGCATTCCAGATATGACTCATGTCATCCACCATTAATTTCAGTTTACGATTTCACATGTCTATAAATTTCCCCCAATTGAAAGTTTGCAGTTATTACAATTCATGAACCTATTGGATTTACAATGCATGCTCCCACTGATGGCTGCATTGTTTCCCTGTTTTATATGTTCTCTGGTTTTATTGGGTATTCAGTGTACAGTAGTCACTATTGCAGTATATAATCACTGTATCATTTGATGGAGAGATTGCCACATGTTCCATAAACTGCTTATATGTGAATTCAAGGTGCCAATCATTTGTCCTGACTATGACCCGATACATATGGCCATGTAGTTCCCCCTTTCGCTATTTAAGCTGCGTTAGACAATATTGCAAATAAATTGGCAATATTTTTACGATTGCACGTGCTTAGAGCAATCTGCAAATTGTCTCAGCTGCACAGGGCATTCTACCATCTTTCAGTTCTTTCAGCGCTTTTGGTTTTGAGGCCAAAAGCTTTACTGTTTTTGAATTAAAAGGTGGTTTCCATTGATATTTTTCTCAGTAGTTGATGGGGGAAATAATTTTGACAATTGAGGATACCTGATGCACCTTTAAAGAGAGTGGTCTTAGTTCTAAAAATGAAAATCTACCTCTGACTCAGAGTGTAGGTTACGTGCTCTACTGCTGCATAGATGCGGTCATCTTTGGACGCTCCATGGATGAGGAGAAACTGATCTGAGGGGTCTAGAGGGAGTTTTCAACAAGACACAGGAGCAGTGGGGGATGAAAAATCAGTCATGACTGAGAAAAAACGAAATAACCCAAAACTTTACCTAAAAAGGCTGCTCTGTAAATAGGATGACAATCACAGTGTTAATTCTTACATCTAAACAAATGATATCTGCAACTTTAAAGTGAAATAGATTTGACAGTTAATACAAGAGGAAACACTGACAGGTGTGCATTGTGTTTTAACCAGCTACAATCTGCATTAGCATAACTACTCTAATACCAAACAAAATCTATCCGGATTGGTCATAGTCTCTCTGTGTGGAGGGGTTTATGAAGCTTCTAACCCACGACAGATGAAAAAGAAAACAATGTCTCTGTGTGGAAAAAGTGGTGTCGTACACAAAGAAGACACAGATGAAGATGTGGAGAGAGCAGTGGTGATAAGAGCCGACACCGGTGTCTGTGTGTCGGCAGTGGAGTTAATACGTCACCTCCTGCCTCTACCTGCTGCACCTGTCTGCTCCACCTCTTGCCTGAATAATGCAGAGAATCTCGGGCTGTGTTGTGCATTTGTGAAAGACAAACTCTGGGTAAACTCTGTGGGCAATTCTCCAGATTTTACCTGCAGGTCATGTGCGCTGGTGACCTGTCCAGGCTGTACCATACCTCAAGCCCAATCATCTCCAGCTCCCACCACGACCCTCAAAGGATAATATAATGGTTGGATGGATAATAACAATTAACTTTGCAGATCTACATTAAGGCTTGTAATTAAAAGAGAACTATTACTGTCATCAGCTCTCCTTTTCCCATCAGCACTGCCTCTGTACCTCAGTAGCGCCCAACTTGTCTCTTTCCACCGTTGTTTTTCAATTATCAGGAATATTAAGTGTCACTGCTGTCAGAGCTGATAAGGATTTGTACAGTCTCAGGACAACGGAGCAAAACTGTACAAAGAACAGAAATGTGGGGCAAGTTTGGTAACTGGTGTCAGTCAAACAGCACGTTTCCTCTTTGTGTCTGTAAATGAATGGCAGGAGATGCACTCCAGTGACAGATCTGTGAGATATTAATGCAGATTCTCGCCTCTGGGTTTTGGGTACTTTTGTCACATCAGTCATAAGCCACGAGTGCAACTACATTACTGCTGGTTCCTTCCAAGCTAATAAGGACATTTTCCTACATTTTAAAAATGAAATCCTTGAAATATCTAGTAGTTTTACAATGCGTAATTCCCAGAGTTCCACCCCATCCATACAAGTTGAATAAACTTGTCTTCTAAAAAGGCTCTCGACATAAAAACGTATTCAAGTTTCTAACAACTTGAGGAGCCTGAAATGCTAACCTGCCAGTGGTCGTCCCTCATAATGATTGCCGACCTTGCTCCGAATCACAACTCCATGGCTTCTCTCAAAAGCAACTTAATCCTTTTTTGTCCAAAGTCAGTTGGGAAAGAGGAACAAGGGTGATTTTGTAAATGTAGGATATAGCCTGCTACTAATCCAGTGACATGAGAGAGTATCTTTTGGAGGAGCCTTCACTATTTATTCAGTATAATCATAAAGTACAATTTGATAAAGTAAAACAGGATTTGACTCATGTGTTCATGAAATTGAAAAAAACATCAATCCAAATTCAAAAGAGCAACAGATGAGCGACAGATGGTGATATAACCCTAACAATAACACCATAATGGCCAATCAGTTGCGTGAAACTAAGTTATTAATGGTTCCTGTGAACTGACAACAATGACTCAGCCTCCCAAGTCACGTTCCCCTGTCTACATGACAATGTGCTTCTCAGAATCTGTTTTACTTCAGGATGAAAGGTCAAAACACACAGAAAGGGCTTTCTTTAAGAATAAGATACCCATGTACGTGTGGACAGGGCCTAGCTCTTGTTATAATGCTCTCATGAGGGTTGATGATATCAGTTTATTTCCTGGCTCCTCTGTCACAAATAAACAACATGGGTAGAGAAGTCTTTCAGAGATAATAAATTCAATGCGGCTGTTATCTGCTAACAGGGGTAACGTAAGGTGAAGATCCCGCTCGTACTGCAAGCAGCTGGGCTGATGAATCATGAATCAGTCAGAACTTTATTTTCCGCTGCTTTGTCCTCATTAACTTAAGCAGCAAAGTAAGATTAATAGACAACTTTACAGAATTATCTCAAAATGGCTTTAAATGACTGGTACAGGTGTTCTCCAAGCATCAATCTACAGTCTTCACATGAAAGAGCGGAGCTATAAAAGGCTGCAATCAAAGCTAACGAGTATAGCAATATCAGCAGTGTTGTAGACGCGATGATCATCTTGCTTATATGTAACATGATCGTACTATGGCACTGAATGTCTTCATCTTTCAAACACATGTGCAAACGACAAGTCTTATGTTCCCTGTAAAAACACAATTGTGTCTCCACCGAACACAGTGGAACTTCATACAGTGCGCTGAAGGAAATAACCTTTTCCATGAACAGTATTTATTCTGCCCTGTTGTTACAAAAGTATCAACAGAACACTTTATAAGAATAAATCAAATAAACAAAACCAAAAAATGTAAAAATGAAGACATCATCCTATAATATGAGAGGATGACTGGAATATGTCACGGCCTTCTTTCTGGTCATGCTTTGTGCAAACTGCAACAAGATTATTAAATCCAACTCTCTGATGACTTCTGACTCTTTGCCAGTGCTAACACTGAGGCATCTTTGACTCATCAGTGCCTTTGAGTTCTGCCCCTCATCTCTGCTTGTAAATAGTGGAAATATTTGGCAGCCTCTCTGCTTTCCTCTTGTCCTTGCACTATTCATGATTTCTTCTGTTTTTCTGCCTAACCATATTTTTAACCTTGTAAATTCTTCAGTATTTCATAACCATATTTAATGATGCACACTGAGCCTTTCTTTTCTCATTGCCAATGTAAGGCAACTTGCTCTCTACATACACAACAGTGATTAGTGTTATAAGCCACAGTGATCCAAATACAATACTGCATAGTCATTGGCCTATCACATCTGATTAATGCATTTTTTCTGAATGTATTATCATTATCATCATGTGAATGTTTCTGAGCTGAAGATGAGCCCGTGAATGCGGAACTTTACTTGTGAAGATTATGATGATGTGTTCACTGGCTGTCTTATCAATGGGCATCATTTTTGAGTGCGTATGGTTGTGTGGGGGAGGCATAACTGGCTGAATGCAAAGTAAAGTCAAGGCCATAGCTGGAGGGGATGTGAATAGATCAGAGGCCTGTACAACTGCTGAGGTCCCCACACGACCGTGCGGCTCATGTCTGCCTGCATCACCTCCATATCAGGGAGAGTGTGCACGCAGCCACACAACTACACATCGGTGGGCGGCTGTGGTTTAGGGGGATAGAGCGGTCGTCCTCTAACCAGAAGGTCAGCAGTTCGATCCCAGTCTTCCACATTTGCATGCCGAAGTGTCCTTGGGCAAGATACTGAACCCCGAATTGCCTGTATGAATGAGTGAAGGGCAATAACCTGCTGTAAAGCACTCTGAGTGCTCATCAAGACTAGAAAAGCTCTATATAAATGCAGACCATTTACATCTTATTCCATCACCTACGCACACATGTTATCCTGCCATGTCTTTCCTCTCACACAAGCAAGGCAGTAAGTGGTCAATTAAGCAAGAATGGACGACAGACAGTTCATTCCAAGAATCCTCCTTCTACAATCGAGGGCTAGAAGATTCACTCAACAATGTGCCTTTGATTTGTTTTCTTAACAACAAATTGCACTTCTTGTTGTGAAGATCAACCACCACTGTTACTGAAAGAAAGATCTGACCAGCTTCAGGATGTCGGACTGCAAAACCTGCATCATTCTGCTTTACAAGATGAGAGTGGTTTTTTTAATGCCTTGCCACAAGGACACTAAACCCGCTGATGTATGTCACTCTCAATACATAACCCAACTAATGTTCTCTCAGGACTCATACACCCCTATTGTTTTTAAAAAACTCATTAAAAATAGCTTAAAGACAGTGCAGTGCTAATAAACATTAGCCATTACAGCAGACAACTGGGACCTTCTCCCAACTTATTAGGGTGACTTATTATGCCACATGTTAATGAAGGCTGGACCACCACCTCGCACTATTTCTGTAGATTTATTTTTTCTGCCAACGGAACAATTGCATAGTCCCACACTATTTCCATTATTGCACAAATTGGCGGTGTGCTAGAGTCAGGTCAAGAAGAATCCATCATTTAGTGTGATTGATTACAATCGGAGGTCGTTAAGTTAAAAGCTCATCTCAGTGAGTTGTTATAA